TTAATTTCAGCTTTCATCTTATTTTCACTCTAACCCTTTGTTTCCATCTCATTTGCCTTTATTATTCTCCCTTACACTACTTCACTTTTTGCTTTCATTCCTGTAATTGTTTTTTCTACTTCATCCCCGAGATCTTCCAACTTAATTTCTTCACTTTGTCTTACCTCATACCAAATCATAATCCTGCTTAAATAAGCAATCAGTTGCCTGGCTGCAATGTTTACCCTCATTGTGGCAACACTGTGAGGTAAGAATCTTTTCCTGCCCTGGCTTTTCCCAATCTTCGCCTTTTTTCTTTACATTATCTTTGCATAGAGCTTGTGCTGTTCCTTTTCATTATTTTCAAGTACGTTTTTCCTAATCCAGCTATTTGAAAGAATTTAGTATGCGGTGGAGCACAGGCCCATGTTCTATGCTGGCAAGAATTTTCCTTGGTCTTACTCAAGTCTGAACGTACCATTCTGAGTCGATTCTTTTCACAGCTGAGTCGGCCACATATCCCAGGCACACATTTTCTGCAGGGGTGGCTAGTGAGGCAATTCCTCATTCAATCCAGCTTCCTTTCTAGGTCCAAACCAAACAAGGTCCCAGAAAACTTCTGTGCTAGCCTGTGCGGCCCTCAGGCTGGAGGACTGCTCTGCTGGCTTTTATGTTGAACTGTCCCCTCAGTGCCCCATCCCTTAGCCCTGCCCCTTTCCCCCACTCCTTTTAGCAGCCCTAACACCTACATTTCAAGGTTTCGTATTCCCTAACTTGATCAAAGATGTTCATTTTTCCTCAGCCTCTGTGAGCTGGCTTCCTCATTGGTAAACTGGATACTTCCTACCTTGCACAATCATGAGGATTAGATGAGAAAAGACATATGTAAACAGCAGTTTCTCACACAGCAGACATGCAATTGGTGGCAGGTTGTTTTCCTTAATAACCATTCCCTTCCCCTTTCAGGTAATCACCACAGGTGGGAAGACATGTGGCATGCTCTACTGCCTCTGCACATGCTATTCCCTCTGCCTGTCACTCTTCCTGGCAACTCTGCTCCTGTGACAGCCCCTGCAGCCCTCTTCTCCCCTGTCCTCAGACGCAGGTGTTCTTTGCTGTGTGTTCTCACTGTACCCCGTACATACCTCCATGTTGGCACTCATCAGCCCAGATCATTCAGAGCTGACCTTAGTACACTCACCACAGAGCACTAGGAAGATCTAAATAAAACAGTTGCTGAATAAATGCAATTTTCCATATTCCCCAGTGTTTCTTGCTCCTAATGGTAAGAGCTACAGATATAAAATTTCAACAGAAAACATCAACAGACTAGTCCTTTAACGGGACGGTGGCCTACACACCATCAGGCAAGGACTGTACAGGATGTCAGTGATACACCTCTCCATCACCACCAGCCCTCCCCATCCACCTCCCCACAAACTTATTGGAAGACATCTATTTACTAAAATGTAAGCTTGCTTTTTTTTCCTACCTTCCATTAACCAGGTTTAATGACCTTCTCCTGCGATGCCGAGAACTTGATACTTGGACACAAGACCTTGCCCTTCCAGCTGTGGTGTGGCTTTCCGGCTTTTTCAACCCACAGTCCTTCTTAACTGGTAAGGGCTGAGGCAGGGCAGTCCCTGATGCTGATGGGCCCACACCACTTGCTTTCCCTATAGTGGAGTCTCTCTGCCCTGGCCACCAACCCACAAGCAGGAACCATTACAAAAAAGGAGTACAAGTGACCATGGCACCCAGAGAGGAAATAAAGTTCCAGGCAGGCGAGGAGCAGCGGGAGGGGAGGGAGCCCAGGACCAGCCAGAGTGAGGTGGGTGTGGTGCACTCTGGCAAACCTTTTCTGTAAAGACCACATGGTCTCTGCCACTGTAGAGCAAACATGACCATAGACAATATGTAAACAAGCACCTGTGGCTGTCCTAGTACAACTATTTATAGGGATAGTGGCTTACCCTGAAGGCCTTCATTTGCCAGCCCCTACTCTAGTGCAGCCACACACAAATCCCAAAGAACCCCCCAGGGCTGAAGACTGCCTCAGCTGACTGGAGGCTCCAGGGATCCTTACGTACAACTTTTTTTTCCTATTCAAGCCCTGTTCCTTTTCTTCCCAAAGCAATCATGCAGACCATGGCTCGAAAAAATGGATGGCCACTGGATAAAATATGCTTGACTGTTGACGTTACCAAAAAAACGAAGGAGGATTACGGCCATCCCCCACGGGAAGGCGCATACCTCCACGGGCTCTGGATGGAAGGTGGGACACCCTCAGGAGTAGTGTCGAGCCCTTCCTTGTTTGTCCCATGTCTCAGCATCGCTCACTTATATAGTAACTTTATGTTAGCGGTTATTTACCTCATTTCCTTCTTTCTTTCAGACAACTTAAATGCCAGGATGTGTCCGATGTGAGCCAAATTTGGAGGGTCATGGGGTTATGGCTGTCACTTAAATTCTACACTTACCTGGTGTTAATGCCACAAGACAACTTAAGACCTATACTGAATTCATGTTATTTTTCAGTGTAATTGATTCAGAATCTTTCTTCTACTTTTTAAAAACTGTCAGAAAATTCACTCTTGAATTTTATTACAAGACTTCTCCAAGCCTTTAAAATGCCATTTCACATGTGAATTTCTAGGGGGGATAGAATATTTTTCAAACTTACTTGGCCATGTGTTTCTTTGTAGGATTTTAGTCCCTACCAAGATGCTCCTTTTTCAATTTAAAGCAAGTGCCCCAAGTTCAGATGTTTAAAGCCTGGGTTGATGATGGAAACAAGGAGCCTGAACTTGGTGTAAGAAAATAAGGCACGGTGGAGAGGAAGTGTGGTGAACTGGAGACTTTTTTGTGCTTTGATGTGTCTGAATTCTTCTAGAATCTTATTCCATACCAAAGCTTAGTTGTTAAGTCTGGAAGTAATAACATTTGCTTACTATGTGTAAAAGTGGCCCCTCAGCAGCAGGTATATTATATTAACTTCTCTCTTAGATCTCAGTCATGGGCCAGCTCGGTAAGGATGCTACTGACAAGCAAAGAGGTGACAAAACTGGAATGTTTATTGTGCCAAACAATTAGATGATCACTACCAACATGCCACACAGTTGCAACCGTTGATTTCTGCCATAGGTGCCAGATGGGACACCCAGTCAGGAACAATCGCTGATGCCCGCCTCAAGGAGTTAACATCCATGATGCCAGTCATCTTTGCAAAAGCCATACCCATGGACAGACAAGAAACCAAACACACCTATGAGTGCCCCGTGTACAAAACCAAAATGAGAGGCCCCAATTACGTGTGGACGTTCAGGCTGAAGAGCAAAGAGAAGACTGCAAAATGGGTTCTGGCAGGCGTTGCCCTGCTGCTGGAGGCGTGAGGTGGCCTTCATGCTGGGACTTGCATTCCTCCAGCTTAATGTAACTTTTTAGCAACTTACAGATATGTTCAATTTTTTAAACACTATGCTTAAAAGTAGAGACGGGGAAGAGAAAGTAGCAAATGTAAAAAAGAATCTATGTTCATTGATTCTAGCTTTCCCTAGTACCCCCTTAGAAACCCCTCAACACAAAACAGTACAGCCGCTCTCACAGTTCCATCACTGAACATACAAAATCTCAAAAACAATGCAGCTGCAAAGGGGATTTAGTTCTTATAGATATCAAACAGCAAACTCTTTTTAAATTAAAAATTAGCCCTTAAATTCTTTCAGAACATAGAAGCAGCAGGACCCAGGCAAGTCCTGAAGGCTCTAAGACTTCCAGTGTGTAACATGATGGTTCACTTGTGCTCAGTCAAGTTTTAACAAAAATAAAACTCTAGTCCTCTCAAGTTCTGTGGTTAATTGCACTTTGTAATTTAGGGGAACGTTCTTCGGTATACACCTCCAATGACCCAGAGTAGTTTCAACTATGTGGTTTGAACTATGGTCCCTCATAACAAAGCAAACTAAAGGGTATTTAACGCCTGTAAAAACTTGGCCTACAATTACTGTATGTTTGTAAGTAAAAGATTGCAAAAGCAAAAAGGCAACAGAGATAATTAAACAGTGTCAAAGGAAAGAGTTGCTTATATAATGTCTGTCTTCTCTGTAACTTACCTGAACTTTATCTATGCCCCATTTAAATTGTATTTTTTAATCAGTAGATATTTTTAACAATTCAATATACAAACAGGTCTGTGTATACATGTACACATACAGATTCCTCTGCTGTCTTCCTGAGAAATCTTTTTAAGCATATAAACCATCTTTTTTAAAAAAATAGTATTTAGAAACTAAACTCTGCAAAGAATTTCTGCATAAAAACCCAACTGTATGAAATCTTAGACACAAACAGTACGCATGTCTCGTTGGAGTACTGTACAGTGAGCTGGTTGGTTCTTTTTTCTCTTAATTATCTTCTACCAGCTGCTTTTGTAGGCTGAGAAAAAGATGAGAAATGTTTGATAAGTTAATCAGTTAACTGGACAAGGCAAACGCGAAGCAGCCTTCTAGGCGAGGGAGATTTAACAACTCCCTGAAAGTACAAAGCCAGAACCTAGTCTCCTGAGGCTCAAGTCCTGACTCCTCGTCCCTGCATACAGTATGTCCCAAGTGTGACTAGCCTCCCTCCCCCATCCCAAATTGTGCTTCAGAGTTGGTTATGTACATGAACGTGGTAGCCTACAACTCTGCATCCTCGTTGTAAAGTCTCTGCTCATTAGGGTTAGGGCTGCGCCTACCTCTTTGCAGTGCCCCTCAGCCTGGCTGTGCTTTCCATTGCAGTTTTATACAAGGGGAAATTCTGGTTAGAGGCGACCCTGCCTGCCTAGAGGGTCTCCCATGAGGGGCCGGGGCTCGCAGCCTCCATTTTAAAATTGCTAGAGACTCACCTCTCCAGATATTCCTTAACATTATCATAACCATAAAACTTGGCCAGATGAATGAGGATGCCTGTGGCACAGCGGCCATCCCGCCTCCGACAGTAGCTGCAGTTGCAGATCCCACGGCAGGGAGGACATACCCAATCCTGAGAGAGATAACAGGAGAGATTTCTCCATTATTTCCAGGCTCTAGTAAGATGTAGAATTCTGATCCAACCTGGCCTCTCCACCAGTCTTTAATCACATGGTGTCTTTTGGCCTATGTCACAGGTGGTCCTCACGGTGGGCGAAGGGTCATCCAGAGCATCACCTCCTTCCTCATGTTTCACAAAGGCCCAGAAAAGCCAACCACCCCACGCCACACACACAGGAACACTGAAAAATGCTGGTCTTAGACAAGACCAGCTATGTAATTAACAGGGCCCCCTGTTCCAAAATTATGGAGAATTTCAAGAGCATTAAGCCAAGTATGAGGCTCTGTGTAAGTGCACTGGGCATACACCCAGGAAGCTGGCCCTGGTGTTAGGAGCACAGGATTTCCAAAAGATCAAGGTATGAATTCTAGCTCTCCTAATTGTGTTTGTTGTTAAGCTGCTTAACCTGAGCAGCAGTTTGTCTGTAAACTGGGGACAGTATATTTATCCCTATGGCTGTTGCATAAGAGTCAGTGAAGTGTTGTTTAAGAGCATGGACTCTGGAGCCATACTACCCAAGTTCAAGGTCATACTAACTATAATGCTATCATCTCATTTTACAGAGGGAACTGAGGCATAGAGAGGTTGTATACCTAGTTGACAAGATGAAAGGAATTAAGAATAACAAATAGAATAACTGCATTAACAGATGTGAAAGACACTTAGCACTGTGCTGGGCATGCAGAAAGTACTCTTTCCTGTGATATACCCACCTCCTAGCCTGGCCCGGCCCAAGAAAATCAAAGGTAAATCACTTTGCTGGAGGAAAGGCGCAGGGATTAACTTGCACAAAACCAGACAGCTCTAAGAAAGTTTTGCTAACACAAACTCTTCTCCCATCCTATCCACTGGTCAGCTTGTTCCCTCCCTTTCCAGAAGGAAATCCTATTTTTCATTTCCTGTAGAATCTTAAGATACAGAAAAAGGGGAAGGTGGTAGGGCTCTACAGAAACCAGAGCTCTGCAGCTACTGGTCCTGAGTAAGGACCCAGCGATCCCCATCTTCAGCTTGCTTCCCCTTCGCCACTGTGATTTGTAACAAAGGCAAACCCTGTTCCTACCGGGTCCAGCAGGGCTGATCTCACATCCTCCCCATAGCGATTCCGCAGGCACGGTCCACAGAACTGTCCTCGCACTCCGCCACAGCTCTGGTTCCGACACACTGTCTTGGTGTCGATGGTCTTCTGCCGACACTGATGGCACGTGTTACCCTAGTGGGGGAAGGCAATGAGCGGGTGAACATGGGGATTTATACTGTGACGCCCATGAGGCCAGAAGCTGCCATGTACATTACCAAGTGCACGAAGCACTACCTCTCTCATAGAATCCAGCAGGATTGTTTCCCTAGTACAAACCATGGCATCAACTCAGCTCCAGCCTAGTGCTCAAGACCCGGATACCTTCAATGTAAAATCTCCTGGTTTAAAAATGTTGGCAATTAAAGACATTTTAATCCTACCTTAGGAGAGTGTCCCATTAATTAAAAAAAAAAAAATTGATGTACAACAACATACAGCCTCTCTCTAAACCACTTAGAAGGAATTTTAACCCATTTCCTACCAACCAAAGATACTCTGTCAAACTTTGTTTTCTATGGTTATATTACCCTCACCCCCAATATACTATCTTTTTCAATATTTAAACATAAAACTATATAACAGTTTTAAAATACAGTAATTATATGTAACTATGCTCTTCCAATCTGTACTCCCACCTTCCCCCAGATTACATGCATCTCCAAGACAGACTTCTCCCCTGATGACAATTATGGCACTAAGCTGTCTTCCCCTCCTCAGTCACAGTGCACCCTTGACTCTCCAAGTTAGAGCCTGCCTCAGCCCTTGGGGAGATGGTACCAAGGTGTAAGCCCTGATTATAGTTTAAAAACCAAGTAGAATTTCAAACACCCAATAAGAATTACAATTACACGAATTATTCATAATATATCACTTACCAGAACTTTATCATAGACTTTATCTCGAACAGTTATGGCAACATTTTCTAAGTCTTCTTCAGTAATATCCTCCACTGGCCGAAAAGAAGATATACGGTGACGTCGTCTATAACCCTGGCATTTCCCCTGCAAAATGAACAAAAGCGAAATCTAGAATAAGATATTTTGACTGGTTAAAAAAAAAAACATAAAAATTTCCAGCTCTCAGAGATCTAGCACCATTCATATTAACCATATCCCTCTTTTGGAATCACTTCATTAATTTAGTCATTTACTGAGCACCTTCTCAGCAAGGCGATACAACAATAAATGAGAAACATAGAGGTTCTTTTGGTTTCTGCTGTAGACTGTGGGGACAGGGAAGTAAACAACATGAACCACACTGAACAGCCAAACCCGCCAATGGGAACAGGGTCCAAAGTTTCTCCCTCTAGACTGAAGCACCTGAAACGCCTCATTCCTAAAATGGAAAGGCAAGGAGGCATCACTGTACTTTCCCACATGCAAAGCCACAAAACTGAATGGAGCCACTACCAGGCCATTTTTGTCTCCACTGGAGATCAAGTTGGGTCATAGGTTAAAGGACTCTCTCTATGACCTACACCTTACACCAGGGGTTCTTCTCAAAGTGTGGGCCCAGGGGCCTTGGCATCACCTGGGAACTTGGTAGAAACGCAAGTGCTCTGCTGCTGTGAGCCTATCAAGTCAGAACCCGGCACTTTTAACCAGCCCTAGGGTAAATGATGCATGCTAACGTTTGAGGACCAGTGGCTTAGATTGGTTCTCAGTTTTTTTACAGTCAGAAAATACCCCACTAATTGTTTTCCTTCTTTTGAAACTGTAAAACTCTTCTGCAAATTTGGCAGCTGAGAAAGTGAAGTTCTCTAGAGCAAACTTCTCAGGAGGCCGCGCGCTCCGGGTGGGGTTCATGCGTCGTGTGATCTGTCCCTCTGAGAAGGCCCGTCTCACCGTTTTCTTCTTCTGAAATCAAGAGCACAGACTAATGCAAGTGGATGCCCTCTTGAATAAAAGCCATCTGGCAACTGATCACTAAATATCAGTAATGGTATGAATAATTATAAGGAGTTCCACTTACAGAAGCTGAGGTCGGGGTTCGTACTGGGAAGAAATCTGGCATTGAGTTCNTCTGTCCCTCTGAGAAGGCCCGTCTCACCGTTTTCTTCTTCTGAAATCAAGAGCACAGACTTATGCAAGTGGATGCCCTCTTGAATAAAAGCCATCTGGCAACTGATCACTAAATATCAGTAATGGTATGAATAATTATAAGAAGTTCCACTTACAGAAGCTGAGGTCGGGGTTCGTACTGGGAAGAAATCTGGCATTGAGTTCAATTCTGCCAACAACTGAGCAAGCTGAAGTTGAGAACAAAAGAAAGGATCTTACATAAATGCTGCCAAGTCTAGGTCATCTAACATCTGTCACACTCTTCAATTTTGCTTCCATGAAAACACTGACTAAAATACTTTATGTAGCCCTCAACAGTTATACTTTTAACCTTGCATGTAAAGATTTCATCTCCAGAGGTGAAATGCTGGTGTTATCATTCCTAGGAATAAACTTAATGCCCAATCCTCATAGACGAACAAGGGACACCATGAAAACAATCCTAGGATGACCAAGACCTGGAAGAATAAGGTTTGAATCCTGACTTGGAACAAATCATTTTTCACATATGAATCTCAAGTTTCAGTCTTTTCAAAAAAGAAAAGGTTCAACTAGATTATTCTGGTGATTATTTAGAGCTCCAAAAATCTGATTCTTTAAATAGGTTAATTTCTCATCAATAATTTATGAAAATATTCCCAAATGAACACCTTATAACACCAAGTGATCAGCATTAATATGCCAATCAGAGAGCAGATTAGGATTCTTTTAGTTTTAGACTTAAACAATTATATGGGTGTCACTCTAAAATCATGAAGAACATAGTCCTTACTTTAAAGATGCAGATGGACACAGTGTTAAAAATTTCCTTTAGCTAAGCACAAATGTCTTAAGAAAATGAAAAGCCTATTTTTGGTGATTTTTATCTTAAGTAACTTATTAGACATGTAAAATTGCATATACAATATCATTATATTATGCTTATTAAAGGAAAATATTAAAGAAAAAGGTAAACCAAAGGGCTAAAAGTGACTATGAGTGGTGGATGTAAAAAAAATTCTGTATACACAAAATTACAGAGCAAACTGTGATTCTCAACAATGATCAGATTAACAGTTACTGACCACATACAGAAAAAACAAATACACATAACAAAGACTTCACCTTCCTCCATTAATTATTCTAATAAAGATGTTTTAAAGTGAATTAAAATTCACTTTGAGGTTGTTTCAATTGTTAGAACTATTCCATTCCTTCAGATGATGACTCAAAATAGCAAGAGTGGTTTCTAAGTGAAAAGCCACAGGCCTGATCTGCACATTGCCAACTCTCGAGTGGGCTTAGCAACATCCTGTTTCCTCTTTGCTGGGGACAGGCCAGGTATTCAGCCCTTCTCATCCCCAATACCACTACAGATTTAGAACTTAATTTGATACACATTAAGCAGCCTTAGTTCATGGTACCCTGTAGGGGGCTAAAAAGGGTCCTGGGGAGTCTCTTTCTGTTCCCAAACCAGAGCTGATTATGTAATAACTGCTTTGGGTTCTGGAAAAGAAAAAGGATACATAGTACCCAAAGTACATCTCCCTGACAGAAGCCAAAGCAGCAACAGCTACAGGAGCAAAGCAGCTCTGTGGGCCTCAGGAACAGCGGTCGGAATCCGATGCCAGTGACCCGAGTGCCCCCCGCAGAAGCCTCACCATGGCTTTGTTCTCCTTGATGTTCATGGTCCTTTTCAGCAGAGCATCCGAACCCTCCGGGCTCTCATCCCTGGGGTCATCCTCAGACTCGGAGGCAGAGTCTTCCCTTTGCTTCCCCTGCC